GGTCACGTGTCTAGACGCAATAATGTGGCCATCGAACGATTAGTGGTGCAAGGAAGGGTAGAGGGCACTAGAGCGCGTGGTAGATCGGCAATGAGATGGATAGACCAAGTCAGGGCAGCAGTAAACGTTCCACTGCATGAATGCGCGAGACACGCAAATAATAGAGAGGAGTGGAGGCGAATAGTCGAACGGGTTACAAGACCTATATGATGACCACGACCAGTCTGTCAAGATTGTAACGACTAAGACGAAGAAGAAGAATAAGGTGTAATGCGGGAACTTAATGAGACAACTGTTTGGCTCCAAGGTTCGTTTAATCGACACTGTCGTAGAACAAAGTCGGATATGATATTACAACGAAATTGATTTTTTACAGAATTAGCTTTAATTAATAATAAACTATTGATATATTCAAGAAAAATTTAAATATTCGTAGTACTTTCGGAAATATTCAATTGAACAAAGTATTTTTTCAAAATTGATCCCATGAAAATCGTCGCGAGTTCAATAGCGCCACTGTCACTCGGTTGTCATGGCTCCACGTGCGCCGCGCCCTGCGCGGCGATCGTCACTAGCGGTGATGTTCGACGGAAAGCCAGTCATATTTAACAACAACACATGATAGATTCTACATTAGCGTATCTATATACTTATAATAAATCTGTAGAGAGGTCAATTCTGTACATGAAATATATTTCCAAAATAACTATCAGGGGGTGATTAGGGATCGATACTGATGCCAAAAATGCAATCAGTAAAATTTTTGTCTGTCTGTCTGTATAACCGTTATAGAAACAAAAACTACTCGACGGATTTTAACGAAACTTGGTACAATTATTTTTCATACTCCTGAGCTGGTTAACGTATACTTTTCATCACGCTACAATCAATAGGAGCAGAGTAGTGAAGGGAAATGTTGGGAAAACGGGAGAAGTTACTCCATTTTTTAAGCTTCCGTCGCGTGTGCAACCTTAATGATTAAAGCTACAAAGAAATCATGTATGACGGAAATGTTCTCCTCAAAATTATATAAAAAATATCCCACGACAGCATATGTCTATCTTTTATGGTTGACTAACAATAACACGTGTAACTCCCGATAGCTTAGCAGTTCTGATTTATATTTGTCTACTCTTACGTTTATAACACTCTCAGTCATCCCTAATTAAAAAAGTTAACATTATAAACTATTCCATAAAAAAGAATCGTAGAAATCGGTATAGAAACACCAAAGTTATACATGAACTACTGTAAAAAGCGGTCACTATCGGGATCCAACACAAATAAAACACTCACTAGTACTGTAACACTAACCACTGTATTAATCTCGTTTTAAAACAAACTCAAAAACAATATTCTATTGACTCGGGTCATAAAATCGTTTTGCGTCTTCAATAGCGCGATTTAACTTACCCGTAACGCCATCTATTGACAAACTATTACAACTAAGCTAATTAGACATTCCGCCCACCAAGAACTCCGTTCTTATAACAATTACTAAAATAATCTTACATCAACAATTATCCTACAACTTACTAAAGTAAACAATAAAGATGCTCTATATTAAACTCCCAGTTATCATTAGCTGCACATCGATTTACATTATTAATAAATTTAATGTTTACAACAACAAAATAAAAAAAATCTCTAGCACCGCCCACCGTGCTAATCCGATATGCATGTATGCAAACAAAAAATAGGAATAAATGTAATCTAAAAAATCTAAAAAAAACAACAATAACATAACAATCAATCTACTACTAACTAAATAGAACCATCTGTTGGTAGAAAACATAGTTTATTACAGGGCCGTTTAAACATACCCTTTTGTGTGTCAATAGTTACAACTCTAACAATATTATCTATACCTGGGTGAGTTTTAACAATTTTACCTAAGAGCCATTTGGCTGGAGGTATATTGTCCTCTTTTATAATCACAATATCACCTATCTTAGGTCCAACCTTATGGGTTGTCCATTTGTATCTATTGTTAAGTGTCACTAAATACTCAGTACTCCACCGAGCCCAAAAATGTCTGACCATTTTGTTACATATTTGCCACCTATCTTGAAGATTAACAACATTGTCATCTTTATGTAAAACGTTTAACAAGGCTTCTCCTACCAAAAAATGGCCTGGTGTCAGCGGGAGAGGGTCGTTAGGATCGTTGCTTAATATAGTTAATGGACGCGAGTTAACGCACGCTTCAACCTCTGCTAACACCGTGGACAACTCTTCGTAGGTAAGTGTACTCTCACCAATAACTTTTCTTAAATGTGATTTGACAGAACGCACTCCGGCTTCCCATAATCCACCAAAGTTCGGTGCTTGAGGGGGAATGAAGTGCCAATTTGTATTTTTAAGTGCGAGAGCTTCAGCAATATCTTGAGTGAATTGTGATTTAGCACTGTTAAACAAGACTCGTAATAATTTGTCAGCACCAACGAAATTTGTGCCATTATCGCTATACAAATCTTGGCAATGGCCTCTTCTAGATGTAAAACGTTTGAACGCAGCAAGAAAGCCTTTTGATGTTAAGTCTGTTACTGCCTCAATGTGAATTGCTCTCGTCACCATACATATGAATAGACATATATATCCTTTAAAAGATTTCGAACCTCTTCCAGGTGAGAATCTAATATTAATGGGTCCCGCATAACCGACTCCGGATGATTTGAATGGTTTACTTGGCGTAAGCCGTACTTCAGGCAGTTGACCCATTAATTGAGTAGTTTTGGTGTTCGAATATCTTCGACACGTTAAACATGTTCTGTAGTATTTTTTGACTCGTTCTCGTCCACGTAAAATCCAGTATTTTGAGCGAAGATAGTTTAACATAATTTGAGGTCCACCATGTAATGTTTTGTAGTGTGCATCCGTTATTAACAACCGTGTAAGATGACTCTTAGAAGGTATAATGATTGGATGGCGTTCATCATAACTCAAGTGTGCTTGGTCAATGCGACCACCCACTCTTAAAATGCCGTTTTGATCCAAAAGCGGATAAAGAGTGTGAAGTGCGCTCTTCTTGGTGACACAACTTTTATTTTTTAGATGTCTCATCTCTTCTCTAAAATGAAATTCCTGTACTTGTTTTATACACATCTGTAAAACACTGTTCATTTCTTGAATAGTAATGTATTTGGGTAATTTATCATGTTCTTCCTTAGGTTTTCTCCAATATAAAATTCTTTTGCAATATGAAATAACTCTTAACATTCGATTTAGATTTGAAAATTTAGTCCACTCAAATTCTTCATTTTTGTCTTGTATAATGTTCATTGATTTAATCTTTTGTTCTTCTTCTGTTTCAGGTATCTCGTCGTGTTTTCTTTTCAGGTTTACATCATATATCCAGTTGGGTCCATGCCACCATAAAGCATTCTCTTGTAATTCTATAGGTCGTAAGCCGCGTGAGGCGCAATCTGCAGGATTCATATCCGTTGTTACATGACTCCATTGTTCATAGTCTAATATGGTTAATATCTCCGATACTCTGTTGCTCACAAATGTAGTCCATCGCGAAGCACCTCCTTTCAGCCACGCCAGCACTATTGTAGAGTCTGTCCAAGCATAAAGTTTTTGTCTAGGAATATTCATTACTTGAGAAATTTCAGATAATAGTTTAGCCGCTAAAGCTGCGCCACATAATTCCAGCCTGGGCACTGAAAGTTCCTTTTCTATTGGAGCTACTTTTGTTTTCGCCGACACAATGGATGAGTGTACTTGGTTAAATTGGTCCACAACTCGAAGATACACTACTGCCGCATAACCAGAAGTAGATGCATCCGAAAATGCGTGTAGTTCCAGTCTGCATCCTTTTGTACATTTTAACCATCTCGAAACACTTATAGCCTTCGTTTCTGTCAGTTCATGTCTGTATCTCAACCATTCTTCTAATAACTCCTCGGGTAATTCATCGTCCCAACCTAACTGTGCTTTCCATACCTTTTGTATAATAATCTTGGCCCGAATTACTACTGGAGCAATCCATCCTAGGGGATCATACAGTCTAGCGATGTCTGACAACATTTGCCGTTTCGTAACAGCTCCTTTTATCTCGGGTAAGTCAATCATATATTCGAAACTGTCTGTTAGTCTATTCCAACAAATTCCTAACACCTTCAACATGTTGTCGCTCTTTATTGGTACTGATATCTCTATGCTATGTTTGTCTTGTCCTATGTATTGTAATAACTGTTTACTATTGCTGGACCACTTCTGTAGTTGAAAGCCTCCACTGTTCATAAGTAAATTCATTTCTTCGTAAATATTTATAGCCTCGTTTTCTGTGTCACAGCCCGTCATTAAATCATCTACGTAATAATCATTTTTTGTTATTTCAGCTGCAATTGGATACTTCGTCTTCTCTTCATCAGCGAGTCTCTGTAATGATTTAATTGCTAAGTATGGAGCACAAGCAGTTCCAAAGGTAAGAGTAATTAGTCTGTAGTGTTGGATTGGCATATCTGGGTTTGATCTCCACAAAATCCGTTGGAAATTAGCGTCATCTTTATGTACAAGAACTTGTCGGTACATTTTGACAATATCAGCTATAATACATATAGGATGTGTACGCCAGCGCATTAAAATGTGTCTCAGATCCTGCTGAATTTTGGGTCCAACCATCAATTCATCATTAAGTGAAACACCGTTGTTACCTTTTGAAGATGCGTTCATGACGACGCGTACTTTTGTCGTTTCTTTGTCATTTCTAACAACAGCGTGGTGGGGAAGGTAAGTAGCTCGTGGATTCTCCAGATCGTCGTGTGGCACAAGCTCCATGTGGTTTAAGGTAAGGTATTCCTCCATTACTTTTTCGTATTCTTCTCTCAAATTTATATCGTTTTGTAGTCTCTTCTCTAAATATAATAGTTTTCTTTCCGCTATCTTCTTTGAATCTCCGTATTGACATCTGGGATCTTCTACTTTAAAAGGTAACCGTACTATAAATCTTCCGTTCTCATTTCTGGTGGTAGTTCTCTCGTAAAATTTCTCACACTCCTCTTCTTCTACTGTAAGTTTCTTCTTGATTAAATCGGGCTCCGCTTCAATTTCCCAAAATTTTCTCAATACATCATCACTTCTCATTTGTATGTGCATGTTTATTATACTCTTTCTGTGTAGTGAATCTCTTGGTATTCTTCCAGATAGTACCCATCCGAAAGCCGTAAGTTGTGCAATTAAATTGCCCTCTGGGTGTTTCACCATATTATTTTGTAAAATCTCACTGTAAACATCTGCGCCTAAAAGGATATCTATTTTCCCTGGTGTGGCGTAACCTGGATCGGCTAACTGAAGTTGCTCCAAGTGTACCCATTTAGGAGCGCATAGTTTGTCCCCTGGAAGTAACGACGTTAGTACTCCTAAAACGTACGCATTTACACGGTATTTAGCATTTGGATTATAGCGTGACTCTAATAATAACGAAACCGAATATTTAATTCTTGTTTGCCCGTCTCCCAAGCCTGACACCACACCACTTACTGGTATTCGTTTAAGATTAAGTAATTGTACAGTCGATTCGCTTATAAAAGACGCTTGTGATCCTTGATCCAGTAGCGCGCGTATGTGATATTTTTCTCCAGTTGTAGAGTGTGCGTTAATAATAGCTGTGGCCAATAGTACATTATGACTCTGTAGTCCTTGCGCAAAGTGAGCCACAATTCTTGTCTCAGTGTTACTCTTGTCACTCTTTTGTATGTGTATTTCTCCCTCGTTAGTGTTACTCTCTTGGTGTATAGACCCATCCTTCTCAATATGTAGCATCGTATGATGTTTCTTGCCACACTTCCTGCAGCTCGTATTTTGACGACATTTATTTACTATGTGATTTGGACACATACAGTTAAAACAAAGTCTTTTATGCTGTACGAAATCAATTCTCTCTTTTATTGGTTTTTGCTCAAACTTCTGGCAGTGATATATGTAATGCGACCCGTTACATAAAGCACAATTATTATTTGAGGATTTGGTAACCTCTTGCACTGCTGAATGAAATGATTTGGGTTTTGAAAATTGGTTTATCTTGTTAGAAACTGAAGACTTCACAAATTGTTTGCAAGGGTCAATCATTTCAATACTGCGGAATCTACTCTCTAAGAATTCAGTAAGTTGTGCCCATGTCGGTAAATCAGTTGTTGAACTTAACATTTGTTCCCATAATTTATGTGATTCTGTGTCCAATTTAGATACAACTAGGTAAACTATGAAAGCGTCGCATGATTTCGTATCAATTCCTATGTTCTCTAGTGATTGTAAGCATGACGTCGTGGTATCAAGTAGTTGCTTTAACAAATTTGCTGATGCAAATGTGAGTGTTTTTTGTGCAAATAAAGTTTTAAGTATAGCGTTAGCGTTATATCTTTTATTGTTATAACGCTTCACTAGCTGTTTCCAAGCTTCCTCATAATTTTGTTCAGTGATAGCAAAGTTGCGTAGTAATGTCTCTGGTTCGCCTGTCAAGTTAGCTTTTAAGTAATGCAACTTTTGTACGTTGGATAGCGAAGTATTATCGTGAATCAATGAAACGAACATGTCATAGAAACTCTGCCATTCTTCGTATTTACCGTTAAATATGGGTAATTGAATGCGTGGAAGTGGTATTTCTGAAGTTTTCATGGTCTCAGGTGTTAACGCATATGAACTCGTAGGTTTGGTAGCTTTCGCCCCAAGGGCAGACTTTAATGCAGTTTTGTATGTAGTGTATTGTTCTTCAAACAAATCATATACGTCACTCGTAAAGTATGTTAATGTTTCTTTGCTGCTCTTCGACACAGTGGAAATTAATTTTTTGTGTCCTTCCTTAAACTCATTCCAAAGTTCTTCTAAGGTCTGTAATCTTGTTTCTATATAAGCAGTAGTTAATCTCTCTTTTGGTGACTTTTTATAATTTATTTCGGCCTTTTGTAGTCTTTCATATAATTCGGTTTGTATAATAAGTATTTCGTTAGCCATTGTGAAGTGGTTTAATTCACTATATTAATGTGTTAATAATTAAAATCTCTCATGTAGTTTGTTCGCAAAAATTCTGCAAGTCCAAGAAACACTTCAATATAAACACAAAAAATTAACAAGTCCCAAAAGCAAACAAAATTGTCTAAGCTCATGTAGTGTAAACGTGAAATTTTACAAGTCCAAAAGTAAGCCAATTTTTCTAAGTCCATATAATGTAAACGCAAAATTTTACAAGTCCAAAAGTGAGCTAATTTTTCTCAGTCCAGTAAAGTAAAGAATATAAAATTTTACAAGTCCACAAATCATTAATTTTTCTAAGTGTTTTAAAGTTATTTTATGTAAATTTAACAAGTCCCACAATCACAGAATTTAGTTTATCTTAATATTTCACTTCACTGCACTATGTCTATTACTCACGGTTTTACAAGTCCAAGTCCTTTCAATCCTGGTTTCGGCACCATTTAAAAAGCGGTCACTATCGGGATCCAACACAAATAAAACACTCACTAGTACTGTAACACTAACCACTGTATTAATCTCGTTTTAAAACAAACTCAAAAACAATATTCTATTGACTCGGGTCATAAAATCGTTTTGCGTCTTCAATAGCGCGATTTAACTTACCCGTAACGCCATCTATTGACAAACTATTACAACTAAGCTAATTAGACAACTACGCTAATAATAAGCCATCGCGAGTCAGGGGGATGTAAAAAGACAAATAGAACAAATCCAGATTTTTTTCAATTTTTTTGTTTCTATGTCTGTTTGTCTGTTTGTACGGGCTAATCTCCGAATGTATTGGACCGATTTAAATGAAATTTTGCATGGTGGTACCTTATATCCCCGGACAACGTCTTAGATATTTTTTATCCCGGAAAATTAAATGGTTCCCGTGGGATAGTTAAAAAACTATTATAACTTATACAACTTATGCACCTAATTTAGTAAAATTTAAAATCCTGATACCTTATATTGCCGGTCAAACAACAGGTTACTTTTCATCCGGGAAAAATGAACGGTTCCCGTGGGAACTAATAGATTTCTATTAGTGTTTTTTGTTATTACAATATTTTTAAAGTTTTTAATACAAAAACAGCCTAAAAATGTCTCGGTCATAAAAAATATTACATTTAGTGATAGATAATGAAGAAATAAGTTACTATTTCGCCAGGCAGAACTTCAGCATTTTAAATAATTCAATCAAAAATACGGACAACGAAGGTAAGCCATTTTTAAAAATATTTACTTCTATGGATATAAGTGCCTTTTATTATTATTTTTTTCATACTAAAAAACGATTGGCTAACATTTTATATAGAATTATTCAAAATCCGTGTCATAACTTAACAACCAACGTTGTTCTACGGAAATGAAAAAAATAAATTATTTAATAAAAATATATTTTGATGAAGTTCTCTATATGTATTTTATTTATATTCTTTAATTACTTATCTTATGGTATTGGATATTTTTGACGTCGTATGTTTCCTAGTTTCGTTTTTCTCCCAAACTCATTTCAATTATACAGATTGTTTGAATACTTACGGCGTTGTTCTTCGGAAATCTTACACATTTTTGATGTAGCGTATTGAGAATTAACTATGTTCTTCGGCATAAAATTATATAGGATTTTGTTCAGCATATTTGAATGCTAATTGTAGATATATAAATGACTAGATCTTTTTATTTGAGATTTTTTGTCTTAGTTAGACATATCTTTAAATATTTTACTACGTTGCAGGTCTTGGAGTTGAAAAACCAGAATGACCTTTACCCCCTGGAGCGGAAATCATAGTCAACCAATTAAGGAAAATAGCGCAGAAAGTATTTGCAGACGGCGATGAAGATCAAAATTTAGTTGAAGACTTGACACCATTTAGTATATAAGATACCAACACCAGTTTTAAGGCTTCTCCTCCTGTGATCATCGAAGAATTTGAAAACCTACACCTACATCACCCTTAATAATTCTTACTCGCATGCCATTACCGACTAATAGTCACAAGACATGTAATGACTTATTTTTTGCTTTATACGATCACTTGATAGTCCAGTACCATCTTCACCTAGTACTGTAAGTGGACTAAGTTCTTTTTCCGAATTAGATACTAATTTAGTACTGTCTCCAGGACGAAAAAAACGATCAAAAATAGAGAATCATGGTCCGATGTAAAAAGGAAAACCTTAACGAATTCAGGTAAAAATATGTGTCAAAGAGGGGTCAAGTTCTTGATAAAAAAGGTTATGGGTATGCGTTATAAATGTAGTGAGAAAATTACTAATGAACAAAGACTATATTGTTTTAAAAGGTTTTGTAGTCTCGGTAACAAAGAGAAACAGTGAGGATTTGTGGTTAAATTTTGTTTAGAAGTAAAGAAGCATCGATGTCTTAACACAGATCAACCTAATTTACGTAAATTTACTTATAAATACAACTTGCCAATAGCTTCTTCTTCTGAAAGCAAAAAAAGTGTCTATGATCACGTCAATTCTTTTATCTCATTACGTTAGGAAGAGATCGATCACCCCCCCTACGTGCGTCACCTTGTCGTGGTGGGGGGGCTCAGTAGTGCCCGGCAACCCAACCGGGCGCGAAGCCAAGAAACGCACAGGGAGGTGGCCCACTTCGGTGGGCGGTGGGAGGTGGCCCTCTTCGGAGGGCAGTGTACCATGCGGGTTGCTCCTGGTACTTCTCTGATAGCAGAGTGGACTGTGGAGCAACCCCGTGGTTGTTGTGGTCTGCTTCGGCAGACCTGCCGTCGGGGCGTCGTAGTTGAATGCGTAAGCGATCCTGCGACGCCCCATTAAGACGGGGGAAGGTTTTGTTGGGTTTTAGTGGGTAGTACTGGCTTTGCCGGTGAGTCCCACACCTAGTGCGTAAATGCATTTCCCAACGTTAAAAAAAAAAAAGGAAGAGATCGATCAAGCTATACTTGGACGGTAATCGTAGTATTGGGTGTATGTTTCTATTATACAAAGAATGTTTTAATCCTACAAAATATGTTAAGAGGGCTTCAACCGAACGTCAATATAGAGATATTGTTTCCAAACACTTTAATTAAAATTTCATGGAAATTCTATGGAATCAGATAAAGCAAGTCCATGTCAAGAAAAAAGATCCCACTTAATTATAATATTATACATATGATCTCAATGAAAGTGGTTATAATATGTCTGGTCATTGGATCTAGAACCAGAAAGAAACTCATCATCAGCTCTACCTGATTTAAAACCTATTTCTAACAGCTTGTATAAAATAACGAAAGATAAATATAATGATCTTGTTCACATGTGCAAAACCGGTGTAATCATTTCTGAACATAGCATTTATTTCAAATCCCTACAATTTGATGATAAGTAATTTTTTTTCATTATTTAGTTATTTAATAAATTAATCTATCTAAAAAAAATGAAATGTCATTAGATATTTCATTTTATTTGATAGTTTTGTTTATGAAAATACATTATTTTAAAACTAAATATTGATGTGGGATTTAAAAAGATCTGAGGCAATTTTGAACAGAAGTATTATTTGTTATTACTAGTTTTTGAAATATTTATTATATTTTTTATCGTGAAATGAATATTAAGTTGCTGTTGCTCAATCATATTCCTAGTATAAACATTAAGTTATATTTAATATTTATCTAATAATTATTTATTACTAAATAAATACCTACTCATATCTGTTGTTGATATAGATATTTAAAAAGTTATTATTTCTGAGATCTCATATTTGTTAAAGAGTTTTAGATTTTTAGTATTTTGAAATTTTGTGATTTGACTGATTTATTTTGTTACCTATTGAGACTGATCATAAACGAGTCGCACAATTAATATTATGAGTTTAACTACCAAAAGACAAGATTTTTTCATTAGATTTATTCCTTCCTTGTGCAATTTTCAAATTGTATTTTGGATAAAAAATAACCGTTGGTTATATTTTTCATTTCTTTACTTACATATATATATACCTTGTATATAAACAATAAAACGTTTTTTTTAGAACCTACGTAATTTTTCATTTATCTAGTATAACATACAACATCAATATCCCTTCTGTAATTCCACAGAACAGCATGACATACGTAGTACAACTATCCATCGAACAACTTCGGAAAGTCACAACATACGTCCTAAGTTACGTAATATAACGTCGGATTATAATATACAAACACATTTTTTTATTTTAT